GCGTTGTCCATAACAAGAAGTCTTATCTGTGCAAAAAGTGGTGTCACTTTTGGTAATTTATCAGAAATTACGATAATATCATCTTTTCTATATTGAATTTCATGCACGTAGACTATTTCCAGTTCATGAACAGGCACAACATTTGGATCGATTAATTTGACCATAGATAACATTTGAATATGAATATTCACGGTTGCCTGAACTGCCGAAGGTGAACAGAAAACTGTATTGTTAAAAAAACCGTCCGCATTTTGATCACTAACAATAATACTCAGTTGATGTCTTTTACTTTTCGAGTAAGCTAAATTCTTGTAGTTCCTTGTTTTCTCATCTCGGAAGAACTGATGTTTTCTTTCTGTTCCTAAGCAGTTAACGTATCCACCTGGTCCAAAATCAGTTATTTGATCTGGTATATGAGTATTGAAATGTGATTTCGGGATAATAGCATCAGGAAAATACTGCTTACACAAAACGTTATATTCCAATATTTTCTTTTCTAATTCACTGGCCGTTGTATCGACATTCTCTGTTGCAAAAGACAGATTAACAACATCATGAAGTAATAACATACATTCATATTCAGGAAATGACGCCTGTCCTATTAATTCAGCAAGAATATTGGGTAATACAATAATCAAATAAAATAATGGCAGCGAATCTAATGGCATAGAATTACTGTTTCTTAACACACTTACAGTGATATTAAGTTTTGGTTTCGAGCGTTTTTGTAATCGTGTAAATGGAAAGCTACGAACTTTTTGACAGAATAATGTTAAATCAAACAATCTCCTGTCAACACAATGAATAAGAAATATATTCAACATTCGCTTACATATCTCTTCTAATAAAACATGAAGCGGGTCGAATAAAACTTGTCTGGTTATGTCAAAATATGGTAATCGCTCAAAAGCACTGCGTGCATTGATTCCCCACATTATTCGTCTTTCTTCTTTTGCGCGTAATTGTGTAATATCATCAAATTTTTCAATGTCGTGGCAACGCTGCCTATAAATATCAAGTGTCATTTTTGTTTGTTTCTGATCCAACGTATTTTTATAATCATTCTGGAGCACATCACATAAACGACAAAATCGTGTTACTGTTGCACTTTCTTTATATCAATGTGTGCAATTCGTTGCAGGGAAATCGCCTATTGTATATAATAAAAAGCCATGATATAATTTTTTTTCACCATTGATAACAATATTAATTCCTTCAAACCACAGTGTTAACAATCCATTGATAAAATCAGACATTATTTGCGCAATAGTTGTCTCAAGCATTGTTTTCTTCGGTACTACAGCTAGAAGACGTTTCCATAATTGCTTGGAACGTTGTTCTCTACCGAGATTTAACAATCCCCAATAAAATAAGAATAATTTATGTTTACGGTTTGTAACTTGGTTCGTTAAAGTTAAGTCATCACACGACATCTCAAAAAATAATGTTTCCTTTTTCCAAGCAGGAAGAGATTTGTAAAATTTTGCATTCGTATAATCTAATATTTCAA